TGTACAAAGCCATCGTTGTTCATTCATTAAAAGCCGAGCAACGATCTGCAGAATGAAGCTGTTAATCAATATCAACATTAAACGTTCAAACACCTTCTTCTTTTTTTGGAGTATTGGAAGAAAGATGTGGAAAATCATCTTCACATTATTGAGGTTTTAATAAAGAAAATACCTTTTATTTCCTCGATTAGAGCGGAAATGTCCTCCTTGAGTTCTAGTCAACAAGACAAAGGCCCAATCCCAAACCACTCCCTCGACCCTACCCCTCCGTGACGGAGTGAACTCCGTCTGTAGCCACACTCGCAGCTGAATGAGGCTCCCTCCTGTCAGATGGAGGGAGTAAATACAGCGGCAAGCTTTGGGACAAACTCCCCTCTCTCCGGCAGAAACAGGAAATGCCGTAACTGTATGTAACAACGGTTTCAAATCAGCATCTCTTAGACAAAAAATGTAAATTAAGAACTCAAATAAAACTCCAAACATCTTTCATTGTGTTACTTTTTTGTACAGCTCTTTTAGTTTTAAACCTGATGTTTATAAGCTTCTTAGTTTTTGCAACAGTCTGTAAATATACACAACTTTATAATAAAATGCACACATTTACCTTTTTCTAGACTAAACACAGGTATGATAAAAACATATGAGGTTATCATGAGGTTGTTAACATCGCAATTTATCAGTGGATGTTTTCTAGAACTACTTGTAAACAGCGTGTTTCCTGACGGACACACACAGCGTGACTCCGGTCAGGTAGAGACCGGTCTCAAGTCAGCACCGATGCAGACACTGGGTGTTTCTCAATCGCGAGTACGCTTGCTTGGTAGCACATGTCTGACGAGCATCTTGCTTCAGAAGCGAGTCAAGAATACTTCCTGGCATTCGGAAAACGAAGTATGGAACACGCTAGCAAGTGTGCAGGTGTGCGTCATATGAGAGGCCCCGCCTTACATCTTCCGCCACAGATTTGGGGAAATTGGTCCGTGCGCAAAGCATTGTGGGGATTTTAAGACCGCGAAGTCTACTCATGTGCAGACTCGATATTTCTCCAAACGGAGTACGCCGGGCTCGGTAGATTTCCAAGTATACTGGAGATTGGAACAGTACTTCGGCGGCACTCGATGACGTAGTATGCTTGAAATAGTGGCTCTGAAGCAGCTTTACTCGCGATTGAGAAACACCCTCGCTGTTTGAGGGCTTGATAGCCCACTCCCCCTCCACACCTCTCCACACTCGTTGGTTTGGAACAGCACTTAATGTGGCGGACCCTCCGCGCGAACGCGCAAACGGAGGGGTAGTGTGTAGGGGTAGGGTGTAGGGCGTGGTTTGGGATTGGGCCTAAGAGATACATTCAATGATGCTAACACCACAAACACTGTGTGTGTGTGTGTGTGTGTGTGTGTGTGTGTGTGTGTGTGTGTGTGTGTGTGTGTGTGTGTGTGTGTGTGTGTGTGTGTGTGTGTGTGTGTGTGTGTGTGTGTGTGTGTGTGACCTAGCATCACTATCCTTATGGGGACCAAGAGTTGTTTACACAATCACGTGTGGGGACCCCATGAGGGGAATCATTAATTTTAACGTGGTGCACGGCCTCTCGGGTCAATATTTTTTATATTAAAAACCTGTTTAAAAACTCCTGTAGTAAAACCAATAAAAGTGTTGTTATGACCGGCCCGTTGGCCACAACAGGAAAACAAAGAGAGACGTTCAAGAGTTCCAAAAACCACGGCACTTTACAGTATTTGTGATCGTTCCAAACGCAACACCAAAAACAGGAGAGGATGGGCGAGGGGAAAGGATCACGGCCAGAGTCCTTCTGCAGCAGGCTTGGAGAGAGTCATGACGGCCATGTGACTCCGGGCAGCTGGGCTTAAGTAGCACCTCGGCTCCAGCCAGGTGGCCCCGGTCATGCTAATTGGCATCTTCAGCTCCACCCCATCGCAGGACCTGCAACACACCTGCACACTCACAGGCCCCAGGCTCTGGGGCCGTCACAGTTTATAAAAGCCCTGTTTGGTCTGTGTTAAAAAATGTTTAAGAAAATGCAATAAAAGGGATAAAAGAGAGCAGCGGCTGAAGCACAGAGCGTATGCGGCGGGGTTAAAACTTGTACTCCTGCCCCCCCGAGGGGGTCTCCCCCGGTGGGGTGTCCGAGGCTGCGTACCACAACATCTGGTAAAAGACCTGGTAAGTGGGTTAAAAACATCTGGCTAAAAGAACCGATGTTGACTTTGTTTAAAATCGGCATGCAGGTAAAATTAGTTAAAAAATGATAAATAAATACATAAAAGTGCTTTTAAAAATAAGTGCTGGTAATAAAAATCACATCAACCCAAATCTTAAAATATGTAAAATATAAAACAAATATGTAAAATGTAAAATATAAAATACACACGGGTTACTGGAGAGAGTATGTGTAAAAAAGCAGGAAATAAAAAAAAAGGATGCCTCAAAATAGTACAATAGGAGACCTTCAAGAATCATAATCTGTTTTTTTGCAAAGTAGGTTTACAAATACGAGGTTTACCCGCCGTCTGACTGGATGTTCAGGAAGTCTCTCTGGCTCGTACGTCTGACGAAGCGAATGCAGGAAACATTGTGGAAGGAAGTCAGGCCGCGCTCACGAGAAGCTGAGGAGAAAGAAACAAAGCACCTGTGGTTCAATGGAGGTCAAAGGAGGTCAAAGGTCACATTCAGGTTCTTAGACTTTTCCTCAGAGGTGGGAGAAATAAAAGTAGAAGTACTCAGATCTTGTACTTGAGTAAAAGTAGAAGTACTCAGATCTTGTACTTGAGTAAAAGTAGAAGTACCAGAGTGTAGGAATACTCTGTTACAGTAAAAGTCTTGCATTCAAAATGTTCCTCAAGTAAAAGTAGAAAAGTATTATCATCAAAATATAGTTAAAGTAGCGACAGTAAAAGTAGTCATTGTGCAGATTGGTCCATTTCAGAATAATATATATGATATGTTTTATAATGATTGATCATTAAAGTGTTCTCAAAGCTGGTAAAGGTGCAGCTAGTTTGAATGACTTTGTATACTGCAGGGTAGCTTGTGAATTTACTCCAGGTGGAACTAAAGTCTGATTTAACACTTGATTATATTTCACATCATTCATCCAGATCTGTGAAGTAACTAAAGGTATTAATTAAATGTAGTAGTAAAAGTAGCAAAAAATGGCACTTAAGTACAGACCCATTTTCAAACCGTCTGTTCAGGGAGGAGGAAGTGTCTCACCAGCTGCTCTTAAACAGGGACCATAACACAGCGTTGTGAAATATAGCTGACTGATTCTATAATTTAGGGTGCATTTCACATCAACAAAACAGTACAAAGAAAGTGTTCTTTCTCAATAGAACAATCAGTGGTTCAAGTTAGTATATTCCTCAGTGTAACATATCCACTAGTTGCAAAGCTTAAACATTTTTTTATTTTATTTTATTTTAAGGGAAAGGATGTTTTCACTACTCAGTTTGTCAACTATGTTACGGACAAACTTGATGTCATTACAATCATTTGATTAAGTCCTGCACTTCAAGTAAAATCAAATTTGAAAGGCTCTTGAGTCTATTCTACCATATATCCAAAGATTTTTTAAAGTTTAAAAAATAATTGTATTAAAGTTTTGTTTTTTCATGTGATATGTTCAGCACTGTCATTAAGTTTAGGGATATTTTGTATTATAAAACTACCATACAGGTCATTTTGATAGTTTTAAGAGATGTCATGTAAAACTCCAACCTGTGTAGATATACATTATACTATAAAGGATATCAGAAGCACTATTTTAGATATTTTAAATTTGAAAAAATGAGGTGCAACATAGTTATGAAAGTCAAACATTTGATGCAAATAACATAGTTGACTGGACACATTATTAACCATCAGCACTATGTTCATTTCAAGGCAGAAGTGCAAAATTGCATTGATAATGACGTGTAATGACGTCTACATGTCATACAAATTGTCAACTAGGTTACCTGTCAACTAAGTTACTACAGTTATTACAGTACTGGGTAACTCAGTTGACAGGTAACTTAGTTGACAATTTCCCTATTTTGACCCATCATTTCAATGGTAGGCCTTGCCTGGATGAACACATGTCATTTTCTTGAACAGGTTAACATCACATTTGAACATATAATTGAATTAAAATCATTAAACAATTGTAAACCATAACAATGTACGTAACATTGTTGATGGTCAATTAATATACTCATTGACAATGTGCTATTATACATAAAATATTGTAAAAAATTAGAGGACAATCACCACAGTGTGTTCAAAATGTCTGCCAAAGAGGAACATGGCATCATGTGATGCTGGTGACATGGTATTGGGACAAACCATTTTTGAGTTAAAGGGTGGAGTTCTGTTAGTAACATAGTTGACAGAACTTTTGCGGACATTCATATATTAAGATATTTAAATTATTTAAAGGAGGAAATCAATTAAAAATATGTTATTATTCTTTAGTATTTAGACTTTTGAAATAAAGTTTTATTTACTTTAATGGTTTTTATTCATTATTTTGAAACCAAGACACCCTCAACTGAAAAACGGACATAGCAAAAACTGACAATTTAAGAACATCATGACACATTTCAAGCTAAATAAAGCATAGGATGCACATAATGTTTGTGTGATATTATAACATGCTTTCCAATAATAGGCAAAATATGATATTTTTGAAGAAAATAGTTAGAATAATTATAATTATCATCAATGGACATGGAATGTACCCTAAATTGTAGAATCACTCAGCTATAAATCTCCAGATGTGTAAAGAGATGTCCTTTATGTATTGAGAACATATTCCTACTCATGCTCAATACACTATTTGAAAAGCCTCTTGGATCAGCTGTAAAATGCATCGTCACAAAGTTAAATAACAAGCCTCAATAGTTCTTCTTTCACTTCCTCTTTGCAAACTGCCACTGAGGTGGAACCACACTGTAAGAGAAGAGTTTCCATTTCCCAGAAATCAAAGCTGAAGTTTGTCTGAGCGACAGCAGAGCAGCAACCGAGACAAGTCTCTGTTTCTCTGAAGAAACACTCAACTGAATCCAGCAGCTTTTTATCAACAACACAGCAGGACTCTGCAAACACTGGTGAGTACACTACAGACACATCACTTACTAAATATTTAGTCAAAGTTGGATTAAAATCAGAATCTGACTGTATTACATCCATTTTACCATATAAAGAATATTATATAAATGTGTCAGTTAAGATAAAAACCTCAACATTTACATTAGCAACAGCCAACAATACAACTGCAATGTAAACTCTGGTTAAGTTAGGTTAGAGAGCATACAGTCAAAGCTAGCATTAGCTTATACTTATTTTCATATTTCCTGTATTTGAAAACATCTTTATAATTGACTTTATTAAACAAAGTAGAACCTAAATATTAGATTTGTTCTGGACTGTCCAAAGCAAGGGATCTGGTGTTGTGTTACAAATGTTGCTTATAAAAAGGCATGACAATTAGATATTTCATTTTATATAATTTGTACACACTGTGGTACGTAGCCTTGAGCTTTGAACCTGTTTCTGTAGTAACTGCTGTCTGCCTTTTGAAGCTGATAACGTTTACTGTTTTTTACTAGTATTAACTTCAGTGATGCTCAGCAGGAGGTTTCACTCCTCTGTTCAACAACGTGTTTAGTGTCACTACCCGATCTGCAGCCCTGCCCTATCTGCAGTGCGCATGTGCGAGATGGTCCGCCATATTTGACAACTACATACGGCAACTCTAATAGGACACTTGACACAGTGGCTTTTGGCAAAGCAGAAAAAGAACCGAGAGAGATGAGTTATTGTTATTACAACGTGACTTCACTATTATTTAACAACTCTTTTTATTGGGTTCTTTTATTTGGGGTTAAGTACATTGTCAGAATAAGTGAGAAATGGATTTAACTTCTGTTAGACAACTATCATACTGAATAAATATTTACTGTGAATGTATGCTAAAATGTATAGCATATAGCTGTCTAACAGAAGTTAAATCCATTTCTCACTTATTCTGACAATGTACTTAAGCCCAAATAAAAGAACCCAATAAAAAGAGTTTTAAATAATAGTGATGTCACATTGTAATAACAATAACTCATCTCTCTCGGTTTTCTGAGTTTTCTTTGTGTGCTTTGCCAAATGCCACTGTGTCAAGTGTCCTAGTTGGGTTGCCGTACAGAGTTGTGCAATATGGCGGACCATCTCGCACATGCGCACTGCAGATAGGGCAGGGCGGCAGATCGGGTAGTGACATTTAGATTAGATTAGATCAGATTACTCTATAGAGTGGCGAAGTCCCTCCCCTTCCGGTGGACCTCCATGGGACCTTATTTCGGAAAAATTATGTATTGAAGTCAATGGAGAGAGAAAGATTATCTTTCGATCCCGTTTGAATTGTGCCACGAATTACACATATGATGTTTTTCAATTTAAAAGATAATTTTGCAAGTCAAAAAAAAAAACACATTTGTTTGTGTGAAACGCTCAATGAACTACATCTCTGGTCTCACAGAACGATTGACTACCCTCACTATCACCGTTTAACATTTTGGGTTACTTCATGTTACTTCATGTTAAGGCTAATAAAAATGACAAGGCTGTAATGCTAACTAACGTGCTAGCTACTAGCTAGCTTGATCCAGACACTGCTGGTCCTTTCATCAGACGGGAAGCGAAAGAACGAGCAAGACCCATTGCTGGAATGAACAACCTGGTACTAAGCACACAGGCATCTTGTTAAAGTTATCTTATCTTAGCCAGCGCCATATAGATAGATTATATCTATATGGCGCTGATTTTAGCTATCTCTTAGTGGAGGAAAACAATTGTGACATCACTTACGCGACTCTGGGATTTGTAGTCTTTCTAGTTACGTATTTTTCATAGTCTTATATTTCAACAGTTTTACGACAAACTGTGACTTTTTTGACATGGAAATAATTTTTTAAGATTGACAAACATCATATGTGTAATTCATGGCACAATTCAAACGGGATCGAAAGATACGTTTTCTCTCTCCATTGACTTCAATACATTATTTTTCCGAAATAAGGTCCCATGGGGCGGAAGTAGATGGGCGTGACTTCGCCACTCTATTGTCATTACAAAATGCAAGCACAGTGTAACAAAATTAAGGACGGTCCAACCAGAGTGCAAAACAGTCAGTTATATACACAATTATCAGAAGTATGTACAAAATAAATGATACAAAAATAAAGGTAAATAGATGGGAAATGTATAAATAAGAATAAATACACAGATAATAATAAATACAGTGAATACAGTACTGTATATAAAACAGTAATGGACAAGGATGATTGCGCTTCAGCACAGCACACGACAACAACAACTAGTATTAACTTCAGTGATGCTCAGCAGGAGGTTTCACTCCTCTGTTCAACAATGGCAAAATCCCCCAACAGTATTAGAGCTAACACATTGTGTTTCTTAGAGTTTAAACTGAATGCTGCTATGATTTTCCAGATGTATTTATAATATTAACAAACAGAGAGATTTCTTTAACATTTAACAATAACAGTGTACTGCAAATTTGAGCAATCTTTCACCCTCCACATAATCATGATACATCAGCAGAGTTCAGTATCACCATCTATTTGACTTATAGCAAACAGATACAAGAGATTAAATCATATATACATTACAGTTTTTGTTTTTTTTCACACGTTCTGTCCACAGAGAGACATGTCTGCTGCCAGCTGTCTGCTGACTAAAGATCAGTTTCTGTGCTCCATCTGTCTGGATGTGTTCACTGATCCAGTCAGCACACCATGTGGACACAACTTCTGTAAAGCCTGCATCACTCAACACTGGGATACTAAAGTCCCCTATCAGTGTCCTAACTGTAAAAAGTTATTCCACACAAGACCTGAGCTGCTGGTCAACACTTTCATCTCTGAGATGGCTGCTCAGTTCAGACAGTCAGCTCAACAGAAAGCCAGCAGCAGCAGCTCAGAGCAACACGTTTTCAAACCAGCAGAAGTTCCCTGTGACGTCTGCACTGGAACCAGACTGAAGGCCCTGAAGTCCTGCCTGGTGTGTCTGGAGTCCTACTGTGAGACTCACCTGGAGCCTCACCTGACAAGGCCAGGCCTGAAGAAACATCAGCTGATCGACCCTGTGGAGAACCTGGAAGGCAGGATGTGTGTGAAGCACGATAAACTGCTGGAGCTGTTCTGTAAGACCGACCAGGTGTGTGTCTGCATGCTCTGCACCTATTCAGACCACAAGACACATGATGTTGTTCCTCTGAAAGAAGAATATGAAGGAAAGAAGGCTGAGCTGGGGAAGACAGAGGCTGAAATTCAGCAGATGATCCAGAAGAGACAACTGAAGATCCAGGAGATGAATGGCTCAGTGGAGCTCAGTAAGGAAGGAGCAGACAGAGAGATAGCAGATGGTGTTCAGGTCTTCACCGCTCTGAAGGAGTCTGTTGAGAGAAGCCAGGCCGAGCTCATCGACACCATCAAAGAGAAGCAGAGAGAGACAGAGGAACAGGCTGAAGGCTTCATCAAAGAGCTGGAACAGGAAATCTCTGAGCTGAAGAAGAGAAGCTCTGAGGTGGAGCAGCTGTCACGCTCTGAAGACCAGCTCCACCTCCTCCAAAGCTTCACGTCCCTGAACGCTGCTCCACCCACCAAGAACTGGACAGAAGTCAGGGTCCGTCCACCTTCATATGAGGGGACTGTGGTGAGAGCTGTGACTCAGCTGGAGGAGACGCTCAGTAAACAGATGAAGAAGCTGCTTGAGCTGAAGAGGGTCCAGCAGTATGAGGTGGAGGTGACTCTTGATCCTGATACAGCACATCCTGACCTCATCCTGTCTGATGATGGAAAACAAGTTAAACATAGAGATGTGAGGAAGAATCTCCCAGACAATCCAGAGAGATTTGATACTTGTGCTAATGTCTTAGCAAAGCAGAGTTTCTCTTCAGGAAGATTTTATTACGAGGTTCAGGTTAAAGGGAAGACTGACTGGACTCTAGGAGTGGTCAGAGAGTCGATCAACAGGAAGGGAAGCATCACAGCGTCTCCTCAGAAAGGTTACTGGACGATATGGTTGAGGAATGAAAATGAGTACAAAGCTCTTGCTGGTCCTTCAGTCCGTCTCTCTCTGAAGTCTCAGCCTGAGAAGGTGGGGGTGTTTGTGGATTATGAGGAGGGTCTGGTCTCCTTTTATGATGTTGATGCTGCAGCTCTGATCTACTCCTTCACTGGCTGCTGCTTCAAAGAGAAACTCTACCCATTCTTTGGTCCCTGTCTTAATGATGGTGGTAAAAACTCTGCCCCTCTGATCATCTCTCCTGTCAATCACACTGAGTAGAACAACATTTGATTTTCTACAGAAAGATTCACTCTCACTAAATGTAATACATGTGTTCAGAATTGTGTGTTCAAAAAGTGTTTCGTACTTGCAAATATAACTAGTGGAAGTAATGCACTCCTTTTTTATTAGTAAAATACTGTATAGACATATATATTTTTTATAATTTTCAATTGAGGGGAAAATGATGGGTCTCTGGTGTGTTTTAAAGGGGAAGTTCAGGATTGATTATTGAATGACAGTATATTGGTACAAAATGTATTGACAGTTACTTGGAGAATCAACAATACCTGATCATTAAACATTAGGTTGCAGTGGTTTAACAAACCAGGGAAATGAAAATGTTACATCTCAGCTGTCTGTTGTGTTATGTTAATTGTATTTCGTCCACCTCTCTGCACACTGCTTGTAAAGTTTGAACAAAGCCTCAATGGATTAAAAAAAAGGAACAAAGAATGTTATTTGTTGTGTTTTTTTAAATGTACTTACTGAAGTACAGTTTTCAATAGTTCTCAACTTAGGGAAAGTAGCTTAAAAAAATGTACTTAACTATTTCCATTTCTACTTAACTACATTTGTCTGATAGATTTGGTTCTTCTGAAGCTTTATAAACTATTTAAAACCCTCTTGGATCAGCTGATCATAGATATTAAGATTGCTGTATATGTTTGTTAGAAATAAGGCCATCAACTGGTTAGTTTAGCTTAGCATAAAGACTGGAAACAGAGGAAGACAAAGCCAGCCTGTCCAAAGGTAACAAAGTCCACCTATCAGCAGCTCTGAATCCAGTTTGTTTAATCCATACCAAATCAGAGGAGTGAAAACATCAATAAGACGTTTAACAGGGGATTATGGGTCGGGCTATTTCTTGACTGGGACCAAAACAAGTTGCCAAATTGTTTTTACATTTCACTTTTCGTACAGAGATATATTAAGTACACTTAAATGTGTATTTTGTCACTCACTATGTCCCCCCTTTTCCTAGTATATATGCTAAACTAAGCTAATCTAAGTGTCTGATGGCTGCAGCCTGTGTCAGTAAGAGCGGTCTGACTGGTTGGACTGCTTCTAATGATTATGATCTCATTCTTCACCTTGAACACACTCCAGCACTGCCTGTACAGGTGAGACTAACTGACTGCAAACGTCCCGTCTGACTGGGAGATAAATAAAGGGTTTTTTAAATATCAAAATTGCATGAAATATGCTTGTAAAGTCTATTTTATTAATGCCCTGTTTAGAAGATGGAGCTTATCATTTGAAATGTCATTATTTTTAAAGAGGTGGATGGTGAATAATATTACAATTAAAAATGTTTCACTCACATCATGACTTCGTTTTTTATTACAGTACACGTTTTCTGAAATGTTATCTTTAAATATACTACCGCATACAGAAACAGCACAGAAATGTGTGCACTGGTTAAAACCAGGATCACATTCTTGTTTTATTGTCGACTTATTAGAGTCAAAGGTTTTTACAGAGGGGAGTTTTGATATGGGTTTGTACCACGACATAAATCCAGAAAAACTGTCAGCAGCCTTTAAGAAAAATCTATTCTCCACATGTTTTTTAGGGAAACAGATGTTATAATCCTTAACGCAATCATCAATAATCAGTCTATAAATCTGGCTATTGATGATATATGAACAAACCACTCAGAGTACAGATGGGAGTGAAACCAATTTGGGGAAAAAAAGGCCTTGTATTGTGAATTTACATTTTGCAGTACACAGGTAATTAAGTTAAAAAAAATAGTAACTAATTCATATTACCACTTTTTGTATTAGATTCTAATTTAATCTGGCATTATTTAATGATAACATACTAAGGAATCAAAATAGCCCAACCTTTCAAAACTGTCAACCAATGGTGACATACTGTACCTTCACCTGTTAGCGACACAATGCTTGAATAGCACGTTCTCTAATAGGGAGTTGGCTCAAGGAATAAGAGGTTAAAATAAGGGCAGTGTCTGCAAGATTCAATACAACCTGTCTGCACTGAGTAAACTAAAATATGCTATGAGACAGTGAACAAATCTGCAATCTCATAGTACGTCCCAACACACAGAATATGTCTAAGAATACTTCAGTTGTACTGTGTGAATGAGGTCAAAGGTTATATTTCAATGTGTGCTCATTGAATTATACTGGAAGTAGTGTATCAGGTTGTTTCTGTGCTGAATGACAAACTAATTGACTAAACAACTGAGTATTTGCACTTGTGAGGGATCTTAAAGTCTGTTGATAGATGCCTTACTGACTTTGACCTTTAAAAAACGAGAGCACAAATAAACCTCTCTGACATTTGAAGTAAAAAGATATGATTCTACACTGTATTGAAGTAAACATGTATTATTTTGAATTGTATTTTAGTGAACATGTATCGTTTGAACTGTTTTATGTAATCACAACTCACTGACTTAGAGATTCTGTGTGTCACACACCAACATCGCTTCTTATCATCCCTAAAAGCCAGATGCTGTTTTTAAGTCGTTAAAGACATCGTTAAATAGGTGAAGAACGCATGGGAAGGGAATGTGGTGTAGATAAGGTGGAGATAAACGTTGACTTTTGACCTGGTGAAATTTAGGATCTCACTCTCTGTTCGGAACTCTGATTGAACCCGGCCAGAAGCGAATCCAGCCAATCAGGACACTTGGGGGAGGTGATCAGCTTACACAGCTCCTCCCCAGGGGTTCTCTAATTCGCTTGGGAGAAAAATGGGAAGGAAGAGTCGACAAATCTCCGCCCCAAAGATAGATATGAATACTGATGTTTTTGAGTGTGAAGTCGCTTTTTGGTTTGGTGAGTTGGTTTGATCCTGATATCTGTGTCCGCATCGCATCACAAACCTGAAGTCCAATTTCTTTTTGGTTTGATGAGTGGTTTGATCCCGACGCATTTATCTGCATCGCATCACAAACCTGAAAGTCCGGAGTGCTCGAGTACTCTGTATAACTTGTATATGTGTTTGGTTTCCTACTAGAAGTAAACTCAGATCATTTGTTATAACTTTGATTCCGGTGTTTTCAATTCCTTTCTTAATTTAATAGAGATCCAGCCTCATCCAACGAACGGCGCGGAGAGGGGGGCTATTCAGCCACCAGAAAAGTGTTCTACTCCAACACATTGAACTGTCTGACTGACTGAGTGCAAGTAGTGGAAGAAGTATTAAAGAGGCACTGTTATGCTTTAGGGGATTCCCCTTTCCTGTAGTGTGTTCTGGAGGTTTGTGTGCATGTAAATGGTCTGCTAAATAATAAATATTACATAAAAAATACTTAGATCTTGAACTTGAGTAAAAGTAGAAGTACTCAGAACGTGTACTTGAGTAAGAGTAGAAGTACCAGAGTGTAGGAATACTCTGTTACAGTAAAAGTCCTGCATTAAAAATGTTACTCAAGTAAAAGTAGAAAAGTATTATCATCAAAATATACTTAAAGTAGCGACAGTAAAAGTAGTCATTGTGCAGATTGGTCCATTTCAGAATAATATATATGATATGTTTTATAATGATTGATCATTAAAGTGTTCTCAAAAATGGTAAAGGTGCAGCTGGTTTGAATGACTTTGTATACTGCAGGGTAGCTTGTGAATTTACTCCAGGTGGAACTAAAGTCTGATTCAAGACTTGATTATATTTCACATCATTCATCCACATCTGTAAAGTAACTAACGGTATTCATTAATTGTAGTGGAGTAAAAGTACAAAGTAGCAACAAATGGCACTTACTGTATGTACAGACTGTTAAAGGTGATTTAAACCTGAGAGCAGGATTAGCTGAAAAGAGTCCAAGGAAGCTTATTTAAAAGTTAACAGCATTTAATTAAACAAATGACAAGGTGATACAAATGGAATGTGTAAGAGTGGTGCGGCACTCCCGTTCGCGTGGGGTGCAGCTGCCTCCTCCCAGCTGTTGTTTATCGCGTGGCCGGGGTAGAGAGAAAGCGTTTTTTCCTGTCCATCATATGTTATAGTCTATAGTCCTCTCCTATTGGCCGGTCTCGACGGGGGGCGGGTCTTCCTCCCGGGTTCGTTCCTCTGTGATTAATATCGCATCTAATAAGAGGATTTAGACGTTGTGTGTTTATTGTATAACTCCACAAGCCTTTACTCCTCATATTTCTTACAAGACCCATTTTCAAACAGTCTGTTCAGGGAGGAGGAAGTGTTTCACCAGCTGCTCTTAAACAGGGACCATAACACAGCGTTGTGAAATATAGCTATAAATCTCCAGATGTGTAAAGAGATGTCCTTTATGTATTGAGAAAATATTCCTACTTATGCTCAATACACTATTTGAAAAGCCTCTTGGATCAGCTGTAAAATGCATCGTTACAAAGTTAAATAACAAGCCTCAACAGTTCTTCCTCCACTCCCTCTTGGCAAACTGCCACTGGGAGGTGGGACCACACTGTAAGAGAAGAGTTTCCATTTCCCGGAAATGAAAGCTGAAGTTTGTCTGAGCGACAGCAGAGCAGCAGCCGAGACAAGTCTCTGTTTCTCTGAAGAAACACTCAACTGAATCCAGCAGCTTTTTCTCAACAACACAGCAGGACTCTGCAAACACTCGTGAGTACACTACAGACACATCACTTACTAAATATTCAATAGTCAAAGTTGGAATAAAATCAGAATCTGACTGTATTACATCCATTTTTACCATATAAAGAATATTATACAATATAAATGTGTCAGTTAAGATAAAAGCCTCTACATTTACATTAGCAACAGCCAAAACTACAATGTAAACTCTGGTTAAGTTAGGTTAGAGAGCATACAGTCAAAGCTAGCATTAGCTAATACTAATTTTCATATTTCCTGCATTTTAAAACATCTTTATAATTGACTCTATTAAACAAAGTAGAATCTAAATATTAGATTTGTTCTGGACTGTCCAAAGCAAGGGATCTGGTGTTATGTTACAAGTTTGTCTTATAAAAAGGCATGACAATTACATATTTCATCTTATATCATTTGTACACACTGTGGTAAGTAGCCTTGAGCTTTGAACCTGTTTCTGTAGTAACTGCTGTCTGCCTTTTGAAGCTGATAACGTTTACTGTTTTTTACTAGTATTAATTTCAGTGATGCTCAGCAGGAGGTTTCACTCCTCTGTTCAACAATGGCAAAATCCCCCAACAGTATTAGAGCTTACACATTGTGTTTCTTAGAGTTTAAACTGAATGCTGCTATGATTTTCCAGATTTCATTTATAATATTAACAAACAGAGAGATTTCTTTAACATTTAACAATAACAGTGTACTGCAAATTTGAGCAATCTTTCACCCTCCGCATCATCATGATACATCAGCAGAGTTCAGTATCACCATCTATTTGACTTATAGCAAACAGATACAAGAGATTAAATCATATATACATTACAGTTTTTGTTTTTTTCACACGTTTTGTCCTCAGAGAGACATGTCTGCTGCCAGCTGTCTGCTGACTGAA